ATTCAAACCCTGACAAAAGGCCACTGTCACGTGGTGCACTAAGGCTGTCACATAGTGTACTACGTGGGGTACGAAGTGACACTTTGACTTGGCCCATTCAACTCGGGATAACTCAGCAACCAAAACAGATAAATTAGAAATCTCAACAGAAGTTTTAAGGTGAAGAATCATTTTGTTCACCTGACTACTTATGGATGTAATGTGATTGGTATTATTGGGTTGACGGGCACTTAACAAAAACCGTCACATGGTACCCCACCTTCCCTTATCCCAGGGTACGGTAGGTACCTTCTTTCGATGAACAGTCGAGAGTGGCATTAGGTTTAACAGCCACAACCTTCATTTTTTCTCCCAGTGCCGAATAAAAGGTCGTACACGAATTTATCTCCCAAAAGATGGTCGTACACAAATGTGACATCAGCTAGATTCACTGTTAAAAAAATTCTTAAATTTAATACAAAATGACATCTTAATTTTAATAACCTTTTGAAAGGATATGAAAACTCTTAAAGGTTTGTGAAGTTTAAGAAAATTTCTTACATTTACCAAAACATTTCTGACAAGTTATGAAAATATTGGTAACTTTCAGAAACTTTATTAAAATTGAAAAACAGGTTCATAAAATTTAAGATTGTTTGCCAAATGCCATTATTTGTTTCTTAAAATTCAAAATTACTATAACTTTTCATATTTGATTCTCATCCTGCCAGTTAAAATTGTGATCATTGGACGCTTCACTACCAGTGTACGTAAAGAACAAATTTGGATGATCTTGGTCATGTGAAGTCGTGTTTGGAGGCCCTGGGATGAGCGCTTCCGCTGCCTAGTGAAGTCTCCGCCGAGAGGCTTGGAGTCATCCACATCCTAGAGCCCGCCTCGCAGAGCTCACTCGTGGCGCAGTTGGTAGCGTCGCGGTGCGGTAATCCGGAATTCCGGGTTCGAGACCGAGTTTCAACCACGCTTCCAAGCAACTTCGGCAGTGAAATCGACTACTACCATACAATGAGTATCTCATTACGTACATAAGGCGTTAAATTTTTCCCTACTCTGTGTTAAATTCTTCTTAAATGCAAAAACAACTTTTAAGAAACAGATTATTACTTTTCATATTTGGTTCTTACTTTTAAGAAGAAAAAGTTTATTACTTTTACTACCAAAAAGTCTTTGTAAACTGCTTCATAAAAAAGTTTCTTAAAATTAAGATGGATTTTTTTAACAGTGTTGGCCCTTGTTTTCCTGGGGAAGTATCACCCTTTTGTTTCGTGGTACGTTTGTGTACGACCTTTTATCCGGTGATATATTTGATCCAGGAAGCGGAAGAAGGCGATAACTCAATTTTGGCCATTTTTCAGGAGAAACTAAAAACTGTTAGCAGGGAAAACTAAAACAAAACAAATGAATGTTGCAGATGTTATTAATTTCAAAAAGCATTAGTAAAATTTTGAAAAAAAAAATCAAAAGTGTAAGATCACTCCGTAGAGGATTTCTGCGACAGAGTCAGCTCACCTTATATTTCCTAAACAAAGAGGAATTTGGAGACAAGTCAAGTGGAACAATTAGTGTGCATAAAGTGTATGTTACTCTGGTGTATTTTTTGGACTTAGCTCTTTTTTCCAAATTCAAATTTAAAATTATGGGGGGGTTAAGTTGCGTTGATTCTTTTTACACTAGATCCATAAAAACACAAGTTGAGATATATCCTTTTGCCAATTTGTCAAACGGACTCATGTAGACTAAGGTTGAGTTATCTCCATTTTCCAATGAAATTTAGACTATAAAAGGGGTTAAGTTGAGTTATACCTCTTTTCCATGTGGATTTTCTCCTAAACTGCTTGGAATTCAGTCAAATAATTTGGTGTAATGATGTAAACCTTTCTAAGGCACAATAATAAAATAAAAACTCAATTTGGGGATAAGTCAAGTTATTCCCTTCTTCCGCTTCCTGGATCATTAGTGTACGACCATTTTTTCGGTGATGCATACAAGGTAGGTTTACGCCAGACCGCGTCTTGTCGTAACAGGCTTCGCGATGTCTCGCGGCCTGATACTCCAATCCACGCCTGGCGTACCTACCTTGGCCTGCGGCGCTAGCCTGCCTTCGGCAGGCAATGGCTTGTCCACCGTCCGTTAGTTCTTACTTGTTGCATGCTAGAGCCCCCAGACCCCCCTTCATTCTAGAGTTGCTTCATCTACAGATAACACGATCTTGACCCTTGAAACTTTTTAACTTCTTGAGGCTGGAGGGCACCGCCCCCCAGACCCCCCTTTCTTCAAGACAGAAGTGATCTACCTGCAGAAAACTCGATTTTTCGCCGTTTTTTAGGTGTTTTTCGGCTGTAAAAACTGAACCAGTTGAGCTAGGGTAGTGAAATTTCGCGTGTGCCGAGCCAAGAACATACCTAATAAGCCTGCAAAATCTCAGCTAGATCGGCCGAGCCGTTCAGGAGGAGTAGTGTACACACACAGACAGACACACAGACAGAAAAAATTTTTCAACGTCACTGGAGTAACAGGCTTCGCTATCGCTCAGCCAATTAGTATCACCCTTTTTTCGGTGAGAAAGTTACGTCTCACCCCTCAGAGAGTGAGATGTATCACTATTTTATTTTCAGTGAACGATTCACGCCGCTTCAGGGGCGTAGATCGGGGTCCGGCCCACTCACCCAGACGTTATTCACCCAAAACCCAACTGACCCAAAGTCAATACACCCACGGCCAATTCACCCTCTAAAATTCACCCGAGGTCCATATACCCTTTCTCGATCTCACCCACGCCAAAATAAGTCAAAGACCGTCCTGCCCGCGAAATTACTTCTCACACTTTTCGGCAATGAAGTGCAAGCAACGAGCGACACGTAAAAAAGAATTTGTTGTGGCAACAAAAATGTAGTTGATAGGCGTAGTATCTATTTGTGTCAGGACAAACATTTCGTTCTGACAACGAACGAGATCGTCAGGAGTTCTAAATATCTAAAATAAAATGTTTGTACGCCTGACGAATTATTTGTCGTGATATAATCATTCTCTAATACAGGGTGAGTTTTCTCAATGTGTCAATAATTTGTAGGTAGTTTGGGCACCCCAAGGCTATCATTTTCTACCAATGAACTAGTGGGCGCAAACGCCTAGGTACGGAGATAATTAGTGTTTAGTAATTGGCCTTCGCGCCTGCGAGGTAGGCACCCGCTGCCACTGATGTTCGCAGGACCTCACGTGGGGGTGTCGCGGGTCTAGGAGGGGTGCTTCGAGTCTCGTAGGGGTGCGGCGGACCTTGCAAATGTCTTTTGGGAGGGGTTGCCGCAGGTCTCTAAAGGCTGTCATGGTGGCCCCCGTTACAGTGGATCTCACGGCTGTCTTTGCGAGGGTGGCGGGATTCCTCTGATACCTTTGCGAGGTCAGTGGCACTCCCGCGAGTACTGCTAGTCCCGCGACACCCCCTCGACAGGTCCTGCCGCCCTCAGTGGCACCGGGTGCCTACCTCGTAGGCGCAAAATCCAATTACAAAACACCAATTATCTCCGTACCTAGACGTTTGCGCCCACTAGTTCACTGGTGAAAAATGGTCCCCTAGGGATGCCCGAACTGCGTGCAAATCACTGACACATTGAGGAAACTCACCCTGTATGTTTGAAACAAAACCTGCAAACTATTGTTTGAAATGGATGTCGGTTGCGAGAACCACAAGATAAAGAAGCGGCGAATGCAGAAACGGCCGAAATGGAGATCGGTCTTTGTTCGAGCGACCCGAAGGAGATCGGTCTTTGATCGAGCGACCCAAAAGACATCGGTCTTTGTTCATAGGACATAACGAGAAATAAAAAAATTATTCTGGGTGAACAGCTTCTTGGGTCAATGACACGTGGTTCAATAACACCTGGGTGAAACACTTGGGGGTGAATAGCGTATGGGTGAAAATGCTTTGGGTCAATCGCACCTGGGTGAGTCGGCCTAGAACCGCGTAGATCGTTTATGCACTTAAATGGCAAATTTCAATGCCTTCTCTACAAATCAAAGAGCGTACATTGTATGCTCTAACTGGAGCATGCCTGCAAGCACGCTCTAGCTAGCGCATGCCTGCCAAGCATGCACTTACCAGTGCATACATGCCATCAGGGGGCGGTAACACCATAAAGCAGGAGTGAGGCGAAGCTCTCGCTCCGTGCAGGAGTTACGGACTTCGAGATTATGAAAACCAGGCCATTGTTTTCAAAACGCTTTGCACAGATCGAAAGGGCGTCAAATTTAGGGTGCATTAGACGCATTGACCTTCCCAAAACTCTCAATTTTACCCAGTACAAAAGAGAAAATCGCGAACATGTTTACACAAAGATAGCGCCCCCGAGGTTTTTTCCTTAATTATTAGACTTATTGTATTTTTCGGTGTTTCCACTTTGGTTTTTCGAGGGCTGAAGTAGCAGGTAAGGGATTGCGAATGAGTCTAATGCACCCTTTATGTGATGCTCTTTCGATATGTGCAAAGCGATGGCCTAGTTTGAATAATCTCGAAGAAGACCCCTGCACGGAGCAAGATCGGAGCGAGGGCTTCGCCTCACTGCCGCTTTAGGGTGTTCCCGCCCCCTGATGCCATGTACACGCTTCCTGATGCAGGCAACTCCCTATCCCTTGTGCACTAGATGCATGCTTCAGTAAGCGTGTACATGGCATGTATGCACTAGTAATAGGACATTTTGTCCCACGCTATCTAGTGCATGCCTGTCCCACACTTGGATTTTCAGTGTACGAAGTACGGTGAACGCTGTACTTGCAAGTACGGCCAGTGTCTAACGGTGAATGAAGCCGTACCATTTTGTCACAGTGAACTGCAACATGTGTCTGTCACTACCTTTTTGTCGCAGTGAACTGCAACCTGTGTCTGTTACTACCTTTTTGTCGCAGTGAACTGCAATCTGCGTCTGTCACTACCTTTTTGTCGCAGTGAGCTGCAATCTGTGTCTGTTACTACCTTTTTGTCACAGTGAACTGCAATCTGTCTGTGACAGGTGCGCGGCGTGAAGGGTCTTCGGGTGATAGACGCGTCCGTGTTGGCGGAGACGACGAGCGGCAACACGAACGCAGTGTGCGTCATGGTCGGCGAGAAAGGGGCGGATCTCATCAAGGAAGACTGGAAGAGTCTTCACTGAAACATACGCAACACACTGTAGACTTAACCTCAATATACATTGAGAAGTCACCGTAGTGCTCAGTCCACACTCAATTTTTCAGTTCATACCACGCAAGGGGTGGCCCCGTCACCATTCTGCAAAACTTACAAAGATTGCATGGCATTTTAGGGTAATTTCTAAACATACGTTTGAACCATGTGGCAAAAATATACTTATTTTGGCAGGATATCACTTGCAATGACGAAACAAATGAAAAGGGCAGCAACCCTTAAAACCAACAGTCGCAAAAAACTGTTTTCAATTGTCTCCGGATCCCTATCCGAAACACGGTGCGAGCATCCCCCGAGCCCGACTGGCCAGGCAGCGCAACTTAAAGAATCGTCAAGGTCTTCGACTTTTCTTGAAGATAGAAAGAGCTAATTTATTTAATACGTGCAACGCCTTCCCATGACCCTTCCCGATTTCGACCCAGTGTGTGCCAGGCATGCACGTCTTTATGCATGCCTGCAGGCACACACCTCGAAGTGCATGCCTGGCAGGCACACACTTGCCGTCGCTAATACGCATACAAGCGTGCGAGGGGGTAAACACTTCAAGAAATCATGTACAGACTACTCGGTATTACGCTGTATTTCTGAGGTATTACACGTGTATTACGGCCTTAAAATGCAAAAATTTGGCACATTTGACCCGAAAAAGGTATTACGACCCCGTGCATTACGCGTAATACACGGTTTTTGTGTACAGGGTAGGGTAAAGTGCCGAACATGGATCGGGGTACCAAACATGGATCATTTCTGTTTGGGGGTCTATAAGTAAAGACCAGGTGACCAGATTCTAAATTTCTGTCTTTCCTTGCTTAGACTGATCCTTTGACTGTTCGATGTGAATCTGACAAGTTTGTAACTGCATCTCTCTTCTCTGCAGGGTTGCGTTTAGAAAGACATCTAAAACAGGCCCCCGAAAATCGATGGAAAAATGACGTTCAAAAAGGTGATTTTTGCACCCCTGATTCTGGGCCAAGCAATCACCGCAGTCACTTCAAAATTTTTCATCGTGCATTTTGGACAGACTACTTTGATATTTTGGGACTACTGAATGCATACCTTGCTTTGTGTCCGTACGCTGGTGGGGTGATCCATGATTGGACCACCCTAACCTAACCTTAGTAAAAATAGCCATATTTTCTTGTCCTCACAACTTCCAAAGTATTCGAGTTAGAGGTACCATTTTTGGTAGCCATATGACCAGTAAGGAATACATCAATATTAAATTCAGAAAAAGTAGTCAACCCATACTTAATTTCGATGTAGAGAAGATTTTTTGCTGAGCGATAGCGAAGCCCTTGCCGTGTTTGGGCGCTCCGAAAAGTGACTGGTCGTGCGTCTGTCTGTCTGTCTCTCTGTCCCTCTGTCTCTCTGTATGTAATCACTCACGTTTCTCAGCAACTACTGAACGAATAGTATCCAAATTTCACACCTGATGTCTCCTAAACATCCTACAGGGGGAGTTTATCTCAGATTAACAATTATCATCGTTTGAAATACCGTGAAACGGGGTAATTTCGGACACTCGGTGTAATTTCGGACAACTCTGCCCGGAAGCATTGCAATGATGCTCCCATCTAACGGCCAACTTGGAGGCTTGTCCCGTTGCGCGCATCGCATCGGCCACACTTAAAACTATCTGATCAATCACCCGGAGGCCAAATCCGGGGCAAACTCCAGGAGAAAGAGTGGTTTTTGTATTCAACCATTTTTACCTAAATTTGCTTTATGCGTAAAAACTTTGACTGGCAAGCCGGAACTGTCCATGGCCGGTTCATGAGGTGATTGTTTGTCGATTCGATCATCTTAAGAGCATACTGTGTCAAATTTTCAATCACCTGGGTCAAATAGTATGGTTTCTATGGGCTCAAAACTGAAAAAATGTTACTTTACGGGGTAATTTCGGACATACAAACGTCACGCCAGGGAGAGGGGGTATGTCCTGAACACTTTCAATTTTGCAAGGTTTGAGTGGTGGAAGCTGAAGAGCTCTTCTGAAAGTTGAAGAGAATCCAATAACAACGATAATCCCCAATTGTTAAGGTGCTACCACAATGCTCTCATACTTAAGCCATGTCATAGTTAGCATCTCATACCCCATGGGAACACCCACGTGATATCCACGTTGCATCCACGTGCAATAGGTGGATTAGGTGGATGGATTTTTTCCACCCAAAATCGACGTAGAGCGTTCGTCGATTTCACAGCGAAATAATTACTGCAAGAATTCAACGTCGATTCCACGTCGATGTTGCAGCGAATGAGAGACGCTGTTGATCGACATCGATTCCACGTCGATTTTACAGCGATATAAACGTTGCTATAATTCGACATCGCTTCCACGTCGATTTTGAGTCGAAGAAAGAGTTGCTGCGGATCGACGTTTAATCCACGTCGATCGTTTGTGGATTGTATAATCGTTGCTTGTGTTCAGCCGCAAACACTAATTGGATAGGAAACAACTGTTAAAATGCCGTGCACCGCTTCCAAGTCAAGACTGTTCCCCAGCTTGAGGAGAAAATCCGCTAGAACGTTGCAGAAAGCCCGGGTCTACCAAGGTGCGCGAGCAGCGCGAGGCACATCGCCCGCCTTCGTGTCGTTCCTCAGTTGGCTTCGTGGCGCAGTTGGTAGCGTTGCGGTGCCGTAAGGCACTGGTCCTGGGTTCGAATCCCGGGGAACAAAGAACATTCCATCAACAATTCGTCGGGTGCGAAGGTAACAAAAATGTAACACTGACTAAACAACAAATGCAAAAAAAAAAAGTTTTGTTTTGAAGAAGGTGAACATTTTACAAGAATATTGATCGATGAACTAATCCACGTCCCATCCACGCCGCCTCGCGCGTCACTTAAGGCTCGATGTCGACTCGACGATACACGTCGATTCGACGTGGGCAGTCAACATCCCCTCAACGTCGCATCCACGCTCATGTTCCCATGGGGTAGTTAGTGAGATATGGGCCTTTTGAGCAGGGTTGAGTGTTCTGAACTGTCCTCAGATTGATCTTAGTGATGAAATTAATTAATTTTAAGTTATTTCACGCGAATCGTCGTCTTGGTTAATAAATAAGGACAGAAATACGGGGACTACTTCGCCCCGCGCAACGCGGAACCCACAGCATGAGACATTTTACACGTGTAAACACTTTTCTGACGAACTCAAGGCAAGAAAATTAGGAAATTATCATCATCAAACTGTTCACTGTGACTCAATTTCATCAACATTTCGACTAAAATGCAAGAGAACCATGGATTATACAGATAGCAGACAGCCGCGGCGCGGACTACCTTCCCGGCGACGAAGTTCCGTCACCGGCCGAGAGAGGGCGTTGTTGAAGAGCGCGAGAAGGCGTCTGCGATTGTTTGTTTGTCAACAAGGTTTAAATGCCAACCGTCGCGCGTGGCGTCTCTAGTCAACAAGTCGTTATTGAATATAATTAAGATGAAGACAAGATCTCCTAGTCAGAGAAAGCCTCCTAAGAAGGACTTTGCGTCACCACGCCAAGTGGCGGTCCTTGTGGGACACCATCCAGTCCTATGGGATCCCAAGCACCCGCTGTACCGAAATGTCACTGCGACGGAGGCGGCCTGGCAGGACATTTCGAAACATTTTAAGGGGACTTTATCAGGTACAGTTCATGTCATTTTGTCAAGGGGACAGAGGCTTGAATTTCGGCATCCCATTCGTTGAATTTTCGTTGTATTTCGTGGAATTCAATGAACTAAGGCGTCCCATTTTTCGGAGGCCTATGTCCCCTTGCCATGCACTTAAAAGAGGTTCTGATCAGTGGACTTGACTCTTAAATGTATTTTTCAGCTGAAAACTGCAAAATTGAATGGCAAAGTGTCCGACGCATCAGATGCACGTATTACAATACCAAATTGAAGAAGGCAGCGAGTGGGTCGCAGGCCAAAAGAAAACCAAGAGAATTCAAATACGCGAAGGAGACGTCTTTCTTGGATGAGATTAACATAAGGAAAGACGAGCAACTAGGAAACCTTGAGCATTTAAGTGAAGAAGATGATGATGATGATACAGGAGGCGACAGTGATAGTGACAATAGTGAAACCGGCAGTGAAACTGATTTCCCCGTTTCTGAAGACGAGGTAGGAGGTAATCATAAGTCTGCGATGGATTTCAGTAATGAAATGGCTGAATTAAGTAATGACGAGAGGGAGAAGTTCAGATTCGATAAACTCAACAAGGCATTCACTGGCAGCCAGTCTGAGGTTGGGTCAACTCAGCACATCAATGAACCCTTTCGATCCCCACTCAAGGTTAGTTGGTGAGCAATAATTTTCTGTGAACTTGGAGAGTTTAGAACTATTTTGCCCATTTATTTCATTGCAGGATGTCAACGGAAGAAAAATTGAAAGGAAACCTCCTATGTTTGAGAAAAAGCCTCACGAGATCAAGGTCAAACCAAAGGCTTCTGTAAAGGAGAATAATAAAACCAAGGTAGGTAGGATAACATGATCTTTCTGGCATCTCCCTGTCATCAATATGCCTGTAAATTTTCTACCTTTTTTTTTCCAGAAGCAACGTCTTAAATCCCTAAAGTGGAATTACACTGAAGGTGACATGTTTGATGAGGATGATGAAGTTGCAGTAGATGAAGGCTGCGAGAAACCTAAAAAAAGGGGCAAGTCCAAGCTGCAGGTAAAGATGGAAGAGCAAGACACTAAACTTGAGAACAGGAAGAAACTGAGGGCTGAGATAGCACAACAAGTGAGAGAGAAACAAATTGAAATGGAAACAGCCCTAGCAAAACGGAGAAAAACTGCTCCATACCATGAGCATGTCCCAGATAGAAAGCAAACTTATCATTTTAAGAAGTCTGTGATAGAGCAGCCAGATTCTGATTTTCTAAAAAGTTTAGCTGAATCAATCATGCCTAAAGAGGAGGAGGATCCTCTTAATCTGTTCTTTATGTCACTAGCTGCTAGATGCAAGAACCTACCCGAACTTGTAATAGATAGCCTTGTTCATGATTTCTGGAAACAAATTAGTGAAGCTCGCCAGAATGTGTCAAAGAAGAACCAAGATTTTGTCTATCCAACTCTTAACTCTGAAATGCAGGTATTGATTGACCCATTGATCGCATGACCTTCATTCTCTTTTCAATGTTACAAAAATATTTTTTATTTCAGCAATTAATTAATGCCTCATTTGAAATTGACCCCAATGATGTGATTGTACATTTCAATGACCTTCACATAAGAGGATGTGACTTCCAAACTCTCAAGCCTGCAACATGGTTGAATGATATGGTATGAAACTTGTTTTGTTAACATTATTTGAATTGTAATTGAATCAGTAATATACGACCAGGCTCTCTTTTCTGTTTGGCAGATTATTGATTGTTACATGGGACTTGTGAGCCAAACATCAGGCCAAACATCAGGCAAATTGACGCTCGCTGTCACCTGTCACTTCATTACATCCCTGATCGCACATGGTATTGCAGGGCATAAGGGAACAATCAAGAGCAAGGTAAGCCAATATTTTCTTTCTCCATTACCAGAAATTAAAGTGAAGTAGAAATCATGCATACATTTCTATTTTCAGGAGGAAATTGAGGTTTTTGATTTTTTACTTGTGCCATTTTGTACCAACTCTCACTGGACTTTAATAATTGTGGATGTCAAGAGAAGGGTAATGACAGTTTATGATAGCCTTGAAAAGGAACATCATGGTGTGCTTCAGGTATTATAATATACAAATCTGTTTCTTTGATATGATGGAAAAGACCTTGTCTTTACTCATGTAAATCCTACATTTTCAGTTAGTGAAACTTTACTTCTCCGGTGATTGGACTACTGTACACGCAGAGGTGAGTTAAAATGCAAACAATGAAATAATAAATCGAAAGATTGGTTCAATATTCTGAAGAAAGCTTCATTATTTCAGGGCATACCTCGTCAAAACAATGGATATGACTGTGGCATTTTCATCTGCATGTACGCCAAGCACTTCTGCCTGGGGAATGGCTTTCAGTTTGGCCAAGAAGCAATGCCTCACCTTAGAAGTTTACTCGCTTATGAATTACTTACCACCAAACTGTTACCACTTTAAGTATTATTCCATTCATTTTATCTGTGTTCATTTTGTGATAGTAATTGTTTAGCCAATGTTAGAAGCTACACTAGTTATTATTTAATGTGTGAATGCATGTTATATGTCATATATTTATTTTCAGTTGTTTAGCCAATGTTAGAAGCTACACTATTTATTACTTAATGTGTGAAGGCATGTTTTATGCCGTATATTTATTTACTTGACAATGCATTCTATAAGATGTTATGAGATATTCAAAATATTTTAAGTAGCTCAATTTCTTATTTTTGTTAATTTTGCATTAATTGCATTTAACTTAGCTATCTGTACGAAGAAGCTTTATTCATGTTTGTGAAGTGGGTGATAGTTCCCTTATAATATTGTTAGGAATGGTTCGTATTGAATTCATTGTTGTCCTCTTGAATTTATTTATTATGTGATAGCTAGTCCCTCATAAATTTATTTATTCAAGTTATTAAAATGACAAATAGATTTCCATAATAATTGTTTTTATTTCATCACAAGTATCAAGTATTTCAGCACAATGATGTAAAATTGTGTCAAGAGGGCTGAAGTTAGAATTGCTACCAAACTGGAGCATCATGCAATTGGATCACTGATTGATTCATAACATATATGCTGACTGAAGTTGCCAGGGCAACGGATTTTCTACAAAGTAGGTCACCAAGCTCTCGATAAATTCTTCTTTGCTTACATCAGTATCCTCTCCAGCTTCAGCAACTTCACCCCTCAACCTTTCCAGGATTTCTCTTTCCTTCACTGGATCCTCATTGCTATATCTGCCATAAATTACTTCACCATTTTCACCAATCTGATCACAATACTCTCCACGAACTTCCCTCTTGCTCTTCGGCGGCACACTCTTGACATCTTGCAAATGATAGTTGTGAAGGGCACAGCAAGCGAGGACAGTGGAGGTTGAGGAAACAACGTCTGTTTGCATGGGCCTGTCCAGAACTTCATATCTTTTCCTCATTATTCCGAAGGTGTTCTCCACATTTTTTCTGGCACGGGATATGCGATAGTTGAAAATCCTTTCCGCTGGGGGTAGGAATTTGCCTTTGAAAGGAGTCACCATGTTGACACTCCTCCCAAAGGCAGCATCTCCAACCATGAAGAATGGGGTACTTTCCAATTCCATTCCCTCCACTGGGCAAGGTGGGGGAATGTTCAGTGCTTTGCGCCTCATTCTCCGGCCCAGGGAAGAGCGGTGAAACACATTCCCATCCCCTCTTCTCCCACTTGCACCAGCATCTGCTATCAAAATCTTGGATTTTGCATCTGCTACCACCATCAGGATTATACTGTGGAAACCTTTATAATTAAAGTTTTTGGACCCACTTCGAGCCGGTTGCTGTGACAAATGGAACAAAATCCTGTGTTACATGTGATATACATGCAAGTATATCGTACTTTTTCAGTGAAACTAGAAATTCCTGATAAACTACCTGCAAGCGAATGTGTTTTCCATCAACTCCTCCAATGCAATGTGGCACTTGCCACATTGCTTCATACTCTGATGCAACCCGGAGCCAAGCTTCCTGCAACAAAGGTAAAAAAAAAAACAGTTTAAATCTGAAGAACTTGAACATTGTGAAATGTGGGCACGATACTTTTGTCTTTACAGTTGAATTCCCTTACCTGTGTTGGGGTTTCAAAAACAAGTGGCTCCAAGACAGTCCATATCACACTTGTAGTCTCAAATACTATTTTTGATATTGTCTCTTCACTAACCAGAAAATAGTGCATCAGCTGCGTGAAAGTCTGGCCAGTTGCAAGGTACCTGCAGAATGTTAAAGGATGAGATTGTGGTGCAGAATGTAATAGAAGCATGGTTCCAAGGGTTCTTACCTCAGTGTGATGGCAAGCCTCTCACCCGGAGGGATTACCTTACGCCAGGCTTTTTTGGTGACGTGTGGCTCGATCAAAACTAGCAACCTGTCAAAAGCCTCAGGTGTCATCCGAAACATGCTGTAGAACATCTCCGGGTCCTGCTCTTTCATTATGGGGATAATTGTGCACCAGGGCCCCATGTCATCGTGATGCTCCAGTGTGGGCCTAACCCACCACCTCCTTGGATTATGAGGTCTGCTCTTTGAGAGCACCAGCCTCCTTCGACCTTCCAACAAGCACAAGAGCGAGACACGCTTGGCTTTGGCTTCTGTCCTCCATCCTGCAAAAGAGATTGTCAAAGTGAAGTTAACGTTATCGCCATCAAGAACCCACATGACCAAGGGGAAATAAGCTACCAGAAAAAAGGGTAATGAAGGTGCGTCTAAAATGAACTGACACTCATCGAAAGGGACACCAAATTTGAAGCTTATTTCCTCTTGCACACAAGTTCTCATCTTACTCACTATTGCTAGAGCATCTCCTCGGGCAGTGCTTCTTTATCACCCCCATGTCACGCCAATGTATTCACTCTCCACAAGCCGCGCACGACGATTTACATTTAAATCTTGTTTGCAAACAAACACTGAAAATCTATTGACGTGACTTCGTGCCGCTGCAGGGGCGTGAATTAAGTGTCACGCCATTAAACGGCATGACAGAAAAGTCACGCCAAAAATCGGCGTGACTCTAAAATTCACGCCAATTTCTGGCGCGAATTTCTTGTCATGCCGCTTTTTGGCGTGACTTTTCTCATAAAACGCGTTGTCATTCACGCCAAATGAGGGTGTGACTCACATGTCACGCCATTTTTTGACGTGAATTTCATGTCACGCCAATTTTTGGCGTGACTTTTTGTCACGCCATAATTTGGCGATGTGTCCGACCATTACGTTTTCAGTGAACGCTGCAGCCACGCACGACGGTTGGCATTTAAACGTTGTTGACAAACAATCGCAGCCGACGCCTTCTCGCGCTCTTCAACAACGCCCTCTCTCGGCCGGTGACGGAACTTCGTCGCCGGGAAGGTAGTCCGCGCCGCGGCTGTCTGCTATCTGTATAATCCATGGTTCTCTTGCATTTTAGTCGAAATGTTGATGAAATTGAGTCACAGTGAACAGTTTGATGATGATAATTTCCTAATTTTCTTGCCTTGAGTTCGTCAGAAAAGTGTTTACACGTGTAAAATGTCTCATGCTGTGGGTTCCGCGTTGCGCGGGGCGAAGTAGTCCCCGTATTTCTGTCCTTATTTATTAACCAAGACGACGATTCGCGTGAAATAACTTAAAATTAATTAATTTCATCACTAAGATCAATCTGACGACAGTTCAGAACACTCTACCCTGCTCAAAAGGCCCATATCTCACTAACTATGAGATGCTAACTATGACATGGCTTAAGTATGAGAGCATTGTGGTAGCACCTTTACAGCGGTTGCTTTGTAAACTTCGAATTTCATAACAATGGGGCAAAGCTACATCTTTCATACTTAGTTTTATGTGCATGTCCTACCTTAGTGTCAACGACTGTTTTGCGATTAATTTTCTTTCATGTGACATGAGAGTTGCCCTTGGCGAATGGCTGCATAGCTCGCCGGTTCACTACAATTGAAATGCAAAGCTTTCCACTGAGCCCCTGTATCTTCCTAACCGTACATACGACACGACTACTTGCCTTTCATATGCATGTATGTGATCGTATGTAATCTTGTAGAGAAAGATTTAAGATTCACTTTTCGCGTAATAAAGTAAGGCCCGAGTTGCCTATGAAAGCTAATCGGTCAAAAATTTAAAAATAGAAGCGTTCTAAATGGCTTTACTAGTTCCACTCACTATTCCTGAAATCAAACTACATATGAATGCAATTACATGACTTCAAATTATGTATGACCACCCCTACCTTACCTTTACATCTCAACCCTTACGAATTTCTCGTATAATCATATTGGCACTTTAGAAAGAGACAGTGATCGATTTTGGGACCAAAATCAGAACGAAAAGTCGTTTTTTCCAGGGGTGTCCGAAATTACCCCAAAACACGGGGTAATTTCGGACACTGCTTCGGACCCTCCACTGTAAAAACGGTGAGGTGCAGATAATTGATATAAGCGCCAAAACGAAGCTAAAGGTGGGTAGATGATAAATTTTAACCCTCAAGTCCATGACATCACCACAACTTTCACAATTTCAAAAAAACCTATCAAAAGTGTCCGAAGTTACCCCGTTTCACGGTACGTATATTATCAGTAATATAGGTAATATATGTGTAATATATAGTAATAAAAAGTAACATAAAGTAATAAAGAGGTATTATAGAGGCGGAATTGGGGTAATATGCAAGTAATATCAAGAACCTATAAAGCCCCAATCCGACTGACTCACTCACTGACTCACTCACTCATAGAAATGTTTGGGGTGAAGGAGTGGTCGTAGAGACTTGCGGTTTTTTCCATTCGATTCCAAATTTTATGGGAAAATTGGGAAAAATCCCAAAAGTTGAAAATTCCTCACCGTTTCCGAGAAAACCTACTTTATCTACAAATAACAGGAAAAGTAGCGATATACATCGGCAACTTTGGCCCGTCCCGTACATTCAGAAACGTACGAATTTCTCCTATGTTTGACCCTGACGGGAATTAAATCTGAGTCTGGGGTTAAAATAAATGTCGTTTTCGTCATCAGCACCCTCAAAAACATCGGAAACAATGCAAAAACTCGAAAAAAAAAGAATGTTCCAAAAATACCCCGCTGGGATTTGAACCCGGGTCCGAACTTCTCCGATTTGCTCGAAACTGGCACCATTGGTTTTCTCTCGTCGCCCCGATTCCAAAAATACCCCTACATGCCCTCCTAGCTGCATCCGTTGCCGAGATCCTCCTCGACCCCATGTAGACCATGATGCACCTGCAGCAGCGCCCCCGGGGCTCGGATCGGATTTGCTGCCACCGGGCGGTTCTTAGGGTCACCCAAGGAGGCTGCATACCAAATTTGGTCAAGATCGGACCACGGGAAGTCCTCGGACGAACGAACGAACGGACGAACGAACGAACGAACGAACGGACGCACAGCATGCATCATACTATATGCCCGTCCCTCCGTCATTTTTTTACAAAAAATAAACGGGACGGGCCAAAAAGGGGAACAAATTCCTCACCGTTTCCGAGCAAACCTACTCAATCTTCAAAAAAGGGACCGACCGACTAAAAATTTTTATTCGCCCTATCGGTAGGTCTGGTCGAGACATTTCCGAAACTGTGCCGCAATCGGGTCTCCGTCACTGGCAACATCCTCAAAAACCGATTAAATAGGCCTAAATTCAACAAAACCCACTCAATCTTCAAAAAAGGGGACCGACCGACTAAAAATTTTTATTCGCCCCATCGGTAGGTCTGGTCGAGACATTTCCGAAACTGTGCCGCAATCGGGTCTCCGTCACTGGCAACATCCTCAAAAAACGATTAAATAGGCCTAAATTCAACAAAACTCACTCAATCTTCAAAAAGGGGGACCAACCGACTAAAAATTTTTATTCGCCCCATCGATAGGTCTGGTCGAGACATTTCCGAAACTGTGCCGCAATCGGGTCTCCGTCACTGGCAACATCCTCAAAAAACGATTAAATAGGCCTAAATTCAACAAAACCCACTCAATCTTCAAAAAAGGGGACCGACCGAGTAAAAATTTTTATTCGCCCCATCGGTAGGTCTGGTCGAGACATTTCCGAAACTGTGCCGCAATCGGGTTCCCGTCACCGGCAACATCCTCAAAAACGATTAAATAGGCCTAAATTTAACAAAGTCCACTCAATCTTCAAAAAAGGGGACCGATCGACTAAAAATTTTAATTCGCCCCATCGGTAGGTCTGGTCGAGACATTTCTGAAACTGTGCCGCAATCGGGTCCTCGTCACCGGCAACATCCTCAAAAACGATTAAATAGGCCTAAATTTAACTAAGTCCACTCAATCTTCAAAAAAGGGGACCGACCGACTAAAAATTTTAATTCGCCCAATCGGTAGGTCAAGTCGAGACATTTCAGAAACTGTGCCGCAATCGGGTCCCCGTCACCGGCAACATACTCAAAATCAATCATCAATTGTCATCAAGAACCTATAAAGCCCCAAAATCCGACTGACTGACTCCCTCACTCATCAATCAAGGACCCATATAGCCCCAATCCGACTGACTGACTCACTGACTCACTCACTCGTAGAAATGTTGGGGGTCAAGGAGTGGTCGTAAAGACCTGCGGGTTTTCTTATTCGATTCCAAATTTAATGGGAAAATTGGGAAAAATCTCAAAAGTTGAAAATTTCTCACTGTTTCCGAGCAAAGCTACTCAATCTTCCAAAAAGGGGACCGAATGACTAAAAAAATTTATTCGCCCCATCGGTAGGTCTGGTCGAGAATTTCCGAAGCTGTGCCGTAATCGGGACCCCGCCACCGGCAATTGGGCAATCATCTTCAAGAATCTATATAGCCCCAATCCGACTGACTGACTGACTCACTCACTTACTCACTCAAAGAAATGTTTGGGGTCGAGGAGTGGTCGTAGAGACTTAAGGTTTTTTTCCTTTCACCTCTATCCTTGTCAAAGCAGTCTTCAATATTTTCCGGACCTTGTATGCACCCATTGACTGCCACAGTAGCCAATGCAATACAAGCTATCTATTTGGGCAGTAAAAGTAGCCTTATTATATGGTCAAAAGCGGTTAAATAGAGCTTCCAAAGAAGCAGGACATTTACTTCCTTAGAAAATTTGCCTTTGCTCACCACGGACTTACTGAAAATACTTCGGCACGCGCTCCACACATGCGGGGGTCTGGGGGCGGAGCCCCCAGCGAGCAGCGCGAGTATCAAGAACCTATAAAGCCCCAATCCGACTGACTCACTGACTGACTCACTGACTCATAGAAATGTTTGGGGTGAAGGAGTGGTCGTAGAGACTTGCGGTTTTTTCCATTCGATTCCAAATTTAATGGGAAAATTGGGAAAAATCCCAAAAGTCGAAAATTCCTTACCGTTTCCGAGAAAACCTACTTTATCTACAAAAAAGGGGAACAAATTTCTCACCGTTTCCGAGCAAACCTACTCAATCTTCAAAAAAGGGGACCGACCGACTAGAAATTTTTATTCGCCCCATCGGTAGGTCTGGTCGAGACATTTCCGAATCTGTGCCGCAATCCGGTCTCCGTCACTGGCAACATCCTCAAAAAACGAATAAATAGGCCTAAATTCAACAAAATCCACTCAATCTTCAAAAAAGGGGACCGACCGACTGAAAATTTTTATTCGCCCTATCGGTAGGTCTGGTCGAGACATTTCCGAAACTGTGCCGCAATCGGGTCCCCGTCACCGGCAACACCCTCAAAAACGATTAAATAGGCCTAAATTCAAAAAAACCCACTCAATCTTCAAAAACGGGGACCGACCGACTGAAAATTTTTATTCGCCCCATCGGTAGGTCTGGTCGGGACATTTCCGAAACTGTGCCGCAATCGGGTCGCCGTCACCGGCAACATCCTCAAAAACGAT